AGGAAAAGACTTTTTAGTGCCAGGGTGTTATATTTTCAAACACTTTCACGCCCAACTGCAGATGTCCCTGGGCTTTGTACCTCAGGCTGATGGCATAGTTGTCAAGCTTGTAAGGTCTGGCATCTTCCCTGGTACTACTAGAGCATGGTAATTTCTGAACACTGGGGAAGATGGTTCTGGCAGAGAGCCCGGTGAGGAATCATCACTGGCAGACAGTGTACATATAATAAGTCTAACAGTCCTCTGGAGGCCAAGTGTTATGACTTTGCAGATTATAACACTAAGCCTCTGGTTACCACCTGGCAGGTTCCTGTGGGATATGGCCACCTACACACTGGCCCTTTCTACAGCAAAGCTTAAATGTTAGTTGAACCTGAACAACATATTCCTGGTTGAAATAAGACAAATTTGACCATGAGGAAAACACAAGGGTGTTTGGGTTTTTTGTTTTGTTTTGTTTTGTTTTTTGGTTGTTTGTTTTGGGGGGATTATTTGTTTGCTTTTCTATTTTGAAAGACGTAACAGTTTGGCAGTTGGTTGCTTCTCAAACTTTCGTGGGCTGGTTGGTCCCGGAGTCCCAAGTTTTGACTGGAGGCTTTTTTGGGTATCTGTACATACACTTTGTAAAGCACTGGTTCAGCAGCTTTCCCTCTGTTTTTTAGCAAAAATTATGTAGTATACCCTGTAAGGATGAACATTGTGGATATCTCTTGTCTTAGACCCTAGAATCCTATGACCGTTAGGGTGTAGAGGTTAAAGTTAACAGTGAAAAACAGTAGTTAGGAGTTCTAAGCCTCAACCATACTTCCCCAAGCTGATGTCTTTATTACTTCAATATTTGAGTTTTCGTTTATGTTTTGAGACAAGGTTTCTCTGTGTAGCCCTGGCTGTTGCGGAATTCACTCTGTAGACCAGGCTGGCCTTGAACTCAGAACCACTACCTTTGCCTTCCAGGTGCTGGGATTAAAGGCGTGTTCCACCACCTCCTGACTTATTTTAATAATGTTGAATTAGAATATTGTTCCTTGTTTCCCAGGCTCCTAAGATTGGGAAGATACAGAGAGGGCATGAAAGAAGCAACCCTTCAAAGCAGCAATGTCAGAAGGGAGCAGCCGGAAAAGTGGGGGTGCATCTGGAAGGCCTTCATTTATGACCAGCAACGACTTTCCTAGGAAACAACACAGCTTTTCAAGCCTTTATGGCTTACCTATTAGGAACATGCTGTCGCCTTGTTCTGAACTACAGCAGCCTCTCTGTGATCTGGCAGTATCTTTAGGGGTTCTTGAGAGCCCTCTGGAACTTTTATCTCCAGAGGCAGGCAGCTTTTTTCTTAAGAGGAGAAAATAGAACCAGTGAGGTCTGGACAAAGGTCTTTGGACTGCAAATGGAGGGCCTTGGCCACTTTGAAGTACTTGACAAATGTTTTATACAGCATTCTATATCTGCATCTTCACAGCAATCATGCTCACCAGTTGCATATAACAAAACTATGACTGAATTACTTAGATAAGGAAAATATCTTCACATGACAGGGAGTTCTGATTTAGGTTGGTTAAGTGGCTACATGACACCAAAGAACATGGTTGCTTTTTATTTATTTACTTTTTGCTCTGCTATCCTGTGTGGTCTTGGTTCATATAATGGTCTCAGGATAGCTACTGTAATTCCAGGAAGGAAATGATGATGACAAAACAATTTCTAACAGAAGTTAAGAGAACTTATTTCCCCACCCCCAACCCCATCCAGTGTTCCATTCTAAAACAAGGAAATCTTCCCCTGGATGCCCTAGCAATTCAGGATTCACATCTCATTGGCTCATTTTCTCATGCCACTGGCAAAACACAAATGATCCCTTGCAGGAATTAAATGGGAGTTAGCTTTTGAATCAAAGGATTAGGAAGGTTAGTTATGTCTAACAAGAAAGAATCAGGTAAGGACGATTGGGTGGATACCCTGGCTTATGGTGAGTAGCAAAGAACCTTCTGTCTAGTCTCTGTGTGTTCCTAAAGCCCGTTTTATATTGTGTTTGCTGCAAGTGCCAAGTCATTATTGCAGAAACTTCTGATAGAGGCTATAGTTTTCTAGTCTGTGTCTTATCCAACACAGGAAGTAGAGTATAGATACACTAAGGGTAGTAGAACAATAGTGGCAGTTGGGAAGAAAGGGAGCATTCTTAGTCCCTGGGTCTCACTGGTAAGCCCTGAGGTCTTCCTACATATTAAAGCAGGTAGTTAGGCACTCTATCCTTTAAGTGCACTGAGTATTTGGTATTTCATTGTGCTTTGCTCCGGCATCTGTTGTGTATCCATGTACCTATTGCTATCCTGATATCTTTAAGTTGTTCATATATTTTACTCATTTTAAATTTGGATTGTTTGTCTCAGTGAGCTATAAAAGCTTATAAAATTCAAGTTCTTTGTTGGAGATATGTATGTGCATATATAATCATATATATGTGTATATATATATGTATATATACACATATATATATCAATTAATTTTTCCTAATCCATGGCTTGCCTTTTCATTTTGGATAGGAAAAGTTTTTTCATGTCCAGTTTAATGATTTAAGGTTAAATTTATTGCCTTCTTTTTACTTCTCTAGTTAATGCTTTTTGTATAGTATTTAAAGAAAATTTTTATTGTCTGGTGGCTACTGAGGTGTTCCAGGGGCACTGACGTCTCTGCATCTAAGATTTTGTGTTTTATAGTTCTTCTGAGAACAATCAGTGCCATCAGGAATAAAGCCAGGGTTTTAGTCTGCTTCTTGAGCCCTGTCCTTGCAGCCTGCCCATCCATCCATCCATCCATCCATCCATCCTTCCATCCATCCATCCATCCATCCAGTTATTTAGAGCACTCTTTAAAAAAAAAAAACTTATTGTGCGATTATAGGATAGCAGTAAGCACTGTTTTAGGCACTGAAGCTGTGGCAATTAACAAGATACACAAAATTTTGTGCCATTTGGAAGTATGTTACCTCAAAATGATATTTGGTCAGGGGAAAACCTCATATACCTTGTCTTGGCAAGAATCTCTGAGACCTTTTTGAATCCATGCTTTAAATTTTAATTCATGAGCCTTTCATATGGGCTCACTCTAAAGAGGTGTGGTTCTGCATAGTAGTAGAAGCAGACAGGAATACATCAGAGACATTTGTTGGATTTTATTGAATCTTAAGGCCCAGACCTTATTTCAGTGTTCAAAAAGACAGTACCTTGGGGCTTGAGGTGGATCAGTGGTCAAGATCACTGGCTGCTCTTCTGGAAGACCCAGGTTGTATTACCAGCACCCACATGGCTGCTCACAACTGTCTAATTCAAGTCTCAAAGATCTGATACCCTTCTTCTGGCTTCTGTGAGCACCACACACTCACATGGATAGAGTTATATGCAGACCAAATACCTGTACACATCCAAAATAAAACAAAGCCACTCAGTTTGTGACCATACCGTGTTTTATAGAAGCTAGGTAAGCTTGCATTCATTTAAGGAAGTAGTCATGGAATCAAGAGATGAGGGTACAGGCCCTTGTACAAGTTTGGGATTTACTCTTCTGGCTTCTATCATGCCATCAAGCTCTGGATTGACTTTTAAGATGAGCTGATGCATCTGGTGATTTGATATTTTAAACATTTGGAAGGGCGTTTTCAGTCAATAGGAAGAAGATAGTGAGTCAGAATTGGGGTATCAGATGGGGCTTGGAGTCCCCTCCATTTATTGTACAGTAAGCACATCCATTACATGTGTCAAAATTGTAATCATGGTAAATATTTTTGTTATTAACGTTTGGGAGGGTTTCTTCTGAGCTTTCTCTGCATTGTACATGTTGGTCTTTTAGTTCTTCCGATGAGGAAACTGAAGCCCAAAGAGATGACATGGATAATCCAAAAGTCCATATAACGGGGAGGGAAAGGATAGTGAAAAAAGTTTCTTTAAAAAATTACATATATATATATATATATATATATATATATATATATTTAAAATATCACTGGTTAATTGGGACACAGGGAAAATAACGAATCATTGCTAAGCCTGTGTCAAATAAGCCAAGAAATTTTTAAAGGATGTTTTGCTTTTGTGGTGATGAGCTGGATCTAGTCTCGGGTATGGAGTACATTCTGATGGGTTGGAGCCAGGTCCTAAAGTAGTTCACATCCTAAGATCGGATAGACCAGCGTCCAGTGAGGGTTTGGCATGGGATGGGAAGAGGAGAATTTCTGCCCAAGGGACCCCGAAGGCTCCAATTTAGCAGAAAAGCACCTGACCATTTCGGGGAAACTGGAAGCAGACCAGATTTAGTTGTAAACCAATCTTGAGCCCAGAGGGAAAAGGTCGTGGCTCCTTAGCCAGGTGTTTTAACTCCAGAAAGGAGTTTTGGTTCCTCAAGGGGATTAGGAGAGTGTTTAAACATAGAAATAATTCCATCTAGTACTCATGTAAGGTCCCGTTTCTTAGTCTTCTGTTGTAAAACTACATTGAAATTTTTTTTTAACCATCTCAAAAAACGAACGAACAAACAAAAAAGCCCAGTTGTCAAAGCAACCTTGGGCACTTAGCGAAATCTCCTATTACCGCCTAGTAGTTGTGCTAGGAGCAGGCTTGGCAGGTGGAACTAGGAGGGAGCGTGTTCTTGGATGGTCATCTGTCACTCTCAGACTGTCCCTCAGGTAAGCTCCTCGGGACTGGCAGCGATGTCGCCTCTGGCAGTGGCCCCGACCGGTCCCCGCCTGGAAGGCTGTCACGGGGGAGGCTGGCCTCTCTCTCGGGATTGTCACCGTCAGGCACAGCGGGTGCAGGGCGGCCGCGCGCTCACGACTCCGCCCCGGCGGGTCACCCGCTCGCCCGCCCACACCTCCCCAGAGTCCTCCAAGCGCTGGCCAAGCGGGCTTGGACGCTGTCACCTCACAGATCCAGTTCGAGGCGCGTTGCAGATCCTGCTAGCCGGGCACGATCGGGGGAGCGGAACTGACGCGGGCGGGCTTCCGGGGGCGACCAGAGAGAGCGAGCGCCGGCGGCGGTGGCGGCGGTGGCCGGCGGTTCGGGCAGCCGTGCACGCGTCAGCAACTGTGTGCGACGCAAGTTCCGGACCGGGCTTGAGCGTCCTCGCCCCACGCCTCTCCGTGTTCTCGCCTAGCTGCGGGTTGTCTGCCGGCTGTGGCTCTTCTGCCCCGAGCTTGCGGAGGGCGTCCCTTCCTCGCCTCAGTGGCCGCACCGTTCTCTCGTGAAGCACTGCCCCCAGCTCCATGAATGGAAATCGGCTCCGCAGGTAAGTCGGGGCTGCCGGACGGGGCCGGTTGGGGTCGTTGCCCAACGGTTGTCCCCTGAGCATCCTTGTTCCTTGCATTCCAGGTGCTGTCAGTGTGCGTCGTAAGGGAGCCGTTGGTTTCCGGGCCCTACGCGAGCGGCTGCTCCACAGCCCGCAGCTACTCCCCTGGGGCCACTGAGTTGGCAAAACTACCAGGAGGGTTTAAGCTTGGGTTTATCTAGGCGATGTCATCCCCCTAGAGTGCTTCTCCCCTGACGACATAGACGCGTTTGCCCTTGCTTTTGTAATTCCATTTGGAAACATAACGGCCGCGCTTATCCTTTAACCGGGTCGTGTGCCCCATGTAGGCTGGACAGACCCCTTTTCTATCTCGTAAAGTAGTTTGAAGGTATTCTGAGATAACCGATGGGATTAAGTTCGAAATTGGTGTCCCGGCAACGTCAGATGCTGGGTGGCATTGCTTGTATCCCCAGACTCACAGTGTTTGTGGCAAGGAGCTTGGAGCGGTCCTTTCGGTCTGGATCACCATTTATGTGAGAAGGTAGATCTTCAGAATGCCACAACTATTTCCCCCGATTTTCCGTCCCCTACAGCAGCAGTGGTCACATACCCGGAAATCTGGAATGTAGGAAAGCAGTTTTGTCTCTGGAGAGAAAAATGGCAGCCTTGAGAAAGGAAGCCAGCACTTTCTTTAAAAAGAAAGGAGGAAAAAAAAAAAAAAAAAAAAAAAGTCAGCGGTCTAAAGTAACTGATAGAGCAACATGAAATAGGTGTTATATAACGGTTTGCTTACCAAGTAGTCACCCTTGTTCCCTAAATTTGAAAGTTCTCTTCATTCACAAGATCAGTAATGTATAGTTTCTATATTTGGGGGATTGTCTTGTTATTATGGCATAACAAATCCCTGAATGTCATATCTCCCCTTGCCAATTTGAAAGGTTCCCAAATATAAGGAAAACTAATGTTTAAAAAAAAAACCCTAGGGACATAATTGTCAAAGGGATACAAAAAGCCATTTTCTTGATTACATGGAATCTCTTTCTACTCTGTTCTACCGTTTGTTTCCTTCTATGTTCTATTTTTTCTCCATATTTTTCGGGAAAGGAAAATTTGTTTTTTCTCCATATTTTTCGGGAAAGGAAAAAAGTTTTAGGCTTATTATCAATTTGTGTATTTCCAGTCCTTTCCTTGTTCTTAAATTTTACACTTTATTTGTACTTTTCTTATTTTATAGGATACCTGATTATTTCCAGAGGTCTTATTTTTACATAACTACCCTAAAACTTTTGAAGATATTTCCCCCTTTGGTTTTTTTTTTGTTTGTTTTTGTCTTTCAAGACAGGGTTTCTTTGTGGCTTTGGAGGCTGTCCTGGAAATAGCTCTTATAAACCAGGCTGGCCTTGAACTCACGGAGATCTTCCTGCCTCTGCCTCCCAAGTGCTGGGACTAAAGGCATGTGCCACCACCACCCTGCCCCCTTTGGTTTTTTCATGTGAAAATATTGACAACAGCCTAGAAAGTACTTGTGGTATCAGACCACCTAGTCAATTGATACAATTAGCAAAGCCAGATTCAGAAAATAAAGTTTACCTTTTCTTTTTGGGTGTTCTTCTGATAGAATATAGAACACTGTGTCTTCACATAATAGTAGGTATAGTTAAGATTTATCAACTGGCTTGATATGGTGGCTCATACCTTTGGTCCCAGCACTAAGGAGGAAGAGATGGTTCAATTTCTGTGAGTTGGAGGCCAGCCTGGTCTACATAGAAAGTTCCAGGCCAGCCAGGGCTACATAGCGAGACCCTGTCTCAAAAACAAACAAACAAACAAACTAAAAACAAAACAGTTTATCAACCATGCTTGGCCATCTTGAAACATAAAAGTCTTCAGTAAAGTTTATGTGTGATTGATTGTTGTCTAACATCAGGATCAAGACTGTTACCATCAAAAATGGTTCTTTGAGCTAGGCATTTTAGCACAGGCCTTTAACCCCACTACTTGGGAGGCAGAGGCAGGTGGATCTCTGTGAGTTCAGGGCCAGTCTGGTTACAGAGCGAGACCCTGTTAAAAAAGAGAGAGGGGGGAGATGTTTTTTGGGTTTTGGTTTTGCTTCTTCTTGCATCTTTTATGTAATTGTTACAGTGAATGTGAGATTGAAAACATACTTAGGAAAATGGACAACTAAGTTTTAAATTCAGAATTTGCATATTTTGATTTAAAAATGTTTAGATATATGGGATGGAGAGTTGGCTCAGCAATTAAGAGCATTTATTGCTCTTCCAGAGGACCCAGGACCCAGGTTTGATTCCTAGCACCATGTGGTGGCTTAAAATTTGTAACTCCAGTACCTGAGGATCTGATATGCTCTCTTGACATCTGAGGGCATCAGGCATGCATATTGTATACATATATACATGCAGGTAAAATACTCATACACATAAAACAATAAAATAAGTCTTAAATTTAAAAAACTTAAGCTGGGCTTAGGGCAAGAAGTGGTGGCTACACCTTTAATCCCAGCACTCAGGAGGCAGAGAGAGGCGGATCTCTGTGAGTTCAAGATTAGCCTGGTCTACAGAGTGAGTTCCAGGACAGGCTCCAAAACTACACAGAGAAAAACCTTGTCTTAAAACAAAACAACAAAAATTAGATATTCCTTAATAGTCTGTTAGGTTAGTGCTGAAATTTTTGGCTCTTAGATTCTGTTTTTCTTTTGTATAGAGATTCTCAGGAATCATTTACTGATGGATTGTTTGTTATGTGGATACACAGAATTCTTAAACTTATTTGGTGCAATAGGGGACATTAAATACAAATATAATGACTTTATGATGGAGTATTCCTCACTAAAAATATTTATCCTTCCTTTTCTATTCACCTGAAGTATTACAAGGGTTTTATTATATTTTTGAGACTAGATTTCATTGTGTAGATTAAAGATGTGTGTCACTGTGCCTAGCTTTGTAGGGGATTTTCAATTTTTTTCTTATACAGCCCACTAATATAGTACCATCTGTCTTAGGGTTTGTATTGATATAAAGAGACACCATGACCTGTTTGTTTGTTTGTTTGAGACAGGGTGTAACCCTGGCTGCCTTGGAACTCACTCTGTATACCAGGCTGACCTCAAACTCACAGAGATCCACCTGCCTCTGCCTCCTGAGTGTTGGGATTAAAAGTGTGTGCTACCACTTCCTGATTTATAATGAATACTCTTAAAAGCTGAATCATTTCTTCATCCCAAAGACTTTGGCAACTCTTAAAAAGGAAAGAGTTGGCTGACCAGGGCAACTCTTACAAAGGAAAACATTTAATTGGGGCTGGACATCTAAAAGTTGTCCCATCAGTGCAGACATAAAAGGATACAGACATAGGGGTGCACATGCACCCAATACTAAGTAAATAAATAAAGTGCAGGAAAAATGAAGCTCATTTGAGGCTAAATTTAAAAAGAACAAAAGCTGATGTAAAGGGAGCTGGAACTAAGTCAAAAATGAGACTCAGACTGTCATAATGGGTACTCCTGCATCTCAGCACCCTGGAGAGATGAGAGAGGAGATTTGTGGCTATCAAGCCAGCCTGGGCTATGTAGTGAGACCTTGTCTCAAAATTAAAGGGAGAATTTGAAGAGGAGGTGGAGAGTTATGGATTCAAAATAACTAATATACGCAGCGCCATCAAGTTCTATGTTTAGTATTTAAAACAATCTACCACTTTGAGAAATGTTTATTGTTATATAAAATTTTATTTTTATGATTTGTTTTGAGGGAAAAAATGTCATATTGCATCATTGTGTGTTGGTTGTGAATTTGAAAACACTAAAGGTTTTTTTCCTACTGTATTATTACTTACAATTTTGTTTGTGCTGTTCTGAAATGGCTATTATAACATTTTAGTATTTACTATTTAAGACTGGAAACTTGAATTACAAAAAAATGCAAGGTTATTTTGATTATTGTTTTAGAATTTAAATTTTCTATCAATGGTAAGGTACCTTGAGATAATATTAAAAAGGAGACAAGAAACATTATTTTTCTTCTTTTCTTTAAGAGAAATTATAGGTTTATATTATGGAAAATGGTTGGTTGTATTTTAACATTTTCATATATTCATATAATGTACTTTGATTATAGGCACCCCCTTTTTCCTCATAAAGAATTTAGGCCCCTTATGGTGACAAACCACTTTAACCCCAGCCCTGGGAGGATGGAGGCAGGCTCTCTGAGATTATTACAGCCTAGTCTGCACAGTAAGTTTTAGGTCAGCCAGGACTATGTAATGAGACCCTGTCTCAAAACTTTAACGACTTCAAAGAACAGGTGAAAATAACGCAAAACAAATTTAACCTTAAAATGTGGTTTTATAAACATAATGAAGATATTTAAAAGCAACCACAAGTCTGTCATTATGATACAACCAACCTTTATTTAAAAATCAAATTAGAAACTAGTCAACTATAACAAAGCTGCTGTGAAAAGCAGCTAAAATGAATAAAAAGATAAGTATACGCTATTTTCTTTTATTTTGGGCAAATTTTCTTCAATAGTTGGTATTAATATACACTAGCTATGTTTTTCACTGGGAGCACTGCATTTGTTTGGTTCTGTAGGCCAGGCCCAACTGTATGCAGAGAGACCTGGGGCCCTGTAAAGGGAATAAATAGTGCCTGTAAGAGTTTGCTCCTGTATATAGAAAAAGCCTAACTCACAGGAAATTCTTTCCACGTTGTCTTTAGTTGTTGGATTCTCGTTAAAAATGATTTTACTTTATAGATCTCTAGTTTCATTTGGTTTCTAAATTCTTGAAATACTCAACCTGAAAGACATACTGAAAATCAGTGTTTTTGCTAATCTAACGACACATACTTTTACAGCACTTAAGCCTTAAAAGGTAGTTTGTTTTAAATAGTTAATATATAAGAGGAAAAAAGGCCAAAGTGATAGTTCTGTTTTCAGGAAAGTAAAACTAAAAAGACAATTTATTTGCAGCTGACTCCTTTCCTAGACCTGTTTAGTGTAAGAGTGTCAGGATGAACAGCACTTACCAGTTGTCTGGGATATTCATAGACCCTCATTATTGGCTCATTAACAGAACAGATGTGAGAAAGAATATTGTGTGTTTTCCAACCATAATGATTATGCTGTTAGGACACATGAACAGTCTTTTTGTATTTGGAGTTTCTGTGGTTTTCTGCATTATCTATGTTAATATTAATGACTTTCTTTGGCTACCCAATGCTAAAAAAAAAAAAAAAGGACTATTGAGTCATACAGTTCACACACAATTAATGCTTTCTCTTATATTGTAAATGTGGAGTTTTGTAGTGTGATTAATTAAGCAACTGTTAAAATGAATGAAAAGATAAATAGGTGCTGCTTCCTTTTATTTTGGGGCATGGTTTGCTAAAAAGTTGGTATTGATATGTAATAGTTTATTTTTACATATAATATATTTGTTTATATTTATGTTGATTTTGTGATTTGGTTCACACTTTTGTCTGGGATATCAGTTTAATGAAATAATCTGGAAGTATTGATTTTATACCAGGCATTTATTTTACTCATTTCATAATCATCAAATTTTTGGGAAATCAGAAGGCATTTATAGAATATAAACATGAATGAGATATTTTTATATTTTTCTAATTTTTAGAAGAAAAAATGCAAGAATACTTCACAATAAATGTATATGCTATTTTTGTTTTATTTAATACTATTTTTGATACTCTATTCTAGTTGATTTCTAAACCTTCTAACAGCTTAATTTATACATAATATTTATTTGAATTTTAAAAAGTTAATGAATAGATTGAGAAATGAGCTACTTAATGTTTGTTCTTAATTTTTTTCAAGGGAGGAAACTCCTTAAAAGATTCTTCCCTACATTAACATGTAAAGCAGTTAACCCTTAAAAGGTTTAATATCATATAAGGATTATAGGGTGTAAGGAATATGTCTATAACTGCTGTTTTGACAAGTTTATGAATAAATAAATTTGGAATTAGCAAATAGAGCATACTAGAAGTTCCATACTAATGTTTACTAGTTAGTCATATGAGCTCAAAGGTGTAAAATCACAGGCACTGCAGGATGTTAAATTTGGTGAACTTAATTCATTTACTTTTCCGAAACAAAGACATGTTTTTTTGACTATAGATTAGTAATTACATACTGATTGTTTTTAAAAGTATGAATGAATGTGAAAATAATATTGTATAATAATATTATCCTAACCTCCACATAAAACTATTAGTCCAAGTGGTGGTGAATGCTTGTAATTAACACATAAGTGGCGAAGGCCGGGGGGATCTCCAATTCAAAGCGAGTATAGAGACTTACCTTTAAAAAGAGTCTGCCTGTCTGTCTAGCATATTATTTTTTAAACTGCCTTTCCTACTAAAACATGTATCACTAATATTCCCACCACATCATTATTTACATCTTTGTGTCAGTAATGATAACTTTTACGGGTATATATCTTAATTTTTTTCATTATGTTAATCAGTCAATCAGTCTTATAGGTAGTAGTTTAGATTTTTTTACAGTTCACTGACTTCCACATGCTTGTCCTCACACACTATATAAATTAGCATGTGCTAAATAAATACATATAATAAATTTAAACTGTCAGTTGATTTTTCAAGTGATTAATTTTTTAATCATTTTATTATCTAATCATTATTATTATAGATCTATTTCCTTTTTCTGTCATTTTTTTTTTTTGAAAAAATTCTTGTGTAAATCAAGCTAGTTAGCGTAACTGTATACTCCAAGCTGACCTTGAACTCCTGATCCTTCTGTTTGGATGACTGTTCTTCTGTCTATCTCTTCCAGAGCACAGTGATTTGTTTTAATAAGAATAAAATAGATGAAAGAAATGCTAAGAACAATGTCACCTTTCAGAACTAAGTTTTAACATTTATCAGCTGTACCTAGAGTTCTAATCTATTCTATTTGACAAGAGATGGCTTTTAACTGTATGACACTTTTTTTCTCCTCTTTACAGGACCCATTGGGGCCCAGCCCCTACTCATAGTGCCCAGAAGACCTGGATATGGCACTATGGGCAAACCCATTAAACTGCTGGCTAACTGTTTTCAAGTTGAAATCCCAAAGATTGATGTCTACCTCTATGAGGTCGATATTAAACCAGACAAGTGTCCTAGGAGAGTGAACAGGTAAAAATCATGAAGCCTAGCTGCCATTTGCTGTTTGTATTTGCCTTAGTAAATTATATATGTCTCTCATATATTTGAATAACAATGATAATATGTAACACTTTGACCAGGAATATATGGTAATTTGTTTTTGAAATATGTACTTTAGCCATGGATAATAACAGAAGTCTTCAAACTTCCTTCAGATTATGCCATTATATGTGAGCTTACTTACATGTTATTCATGTTGTAATAGAAAAGGTCCAAGTCATGGTCACATGTTTGAAATCTGCCCAAGTATGCTGAGCATGTCTTTTGTGTTGCTGTAATTTATGTTTGTGTTCTTTCCCCTTCCCCACTTAATCTTACCATTTTCCTAATGCTCGCTTTAAAATGATGGTACACTCCCACATTTTTAACTAAAAATTAATAGATAAATGAAAAGTAAAAGAAGTTTGTAATTTAATAGTGGTAACAAGACATGTAAGAAATATGAATGTTGGAACAATTTTTTCTTGGACTTACCATTCTAGTTACTAATATTTCTGTTATAACTAAAAGTAAATGAGCAGTGAGCATTTTATGTTGAGACAATAACCAAGTGAATGTTGTGATTAAGGTATACTGCAGAGCTCTTCTGAGGGCAGGAAAAGTTTTGGAATATACTGTTGGAAATAACCTCTTAAGGTTATTTAACAGTTCAGTTAACCCAGTATAGATGAAATCCAGGAAGGTAGAATGACTTAAAAACATACTTTAACAGAAAAGGTGAAATTAGAACTTCAGAAGATTCACTTGGAAGAAAAAGAATTTAGTTGATATAAAATAATTAGACCCATGCCGGGTGGTGATGGTAGTAGCGGCAGTACACGACTTTAATCCCAATCCCAGCACTTTGGGAGGCAGAGGTAGGTGGATTTCTGTGAGTTCAAGGCTAGCCTGGTCTACAAAGCTACACAGAGAAACCATCTCTTGAAAAAGCAAAATAATAATAATAATAATAATAATAATAATAATTATTAGACCCTTTCTGTCCAGCCATTCAAACTGTGTATGTGCTTATGCCATAGCTGGGCATAGTGGCACACACCTTTAATCCCAGCATTTAGGAGGAAGAGGCAGTCAGATAGGCCAGCTGGTCAACAAAGAGAGTTCTAGAACATTCAGAGCTATGTAGAGAGACCCTGTCTGAAACAAAACAAAAAACAAAACCTGTTATAAAAGAAAATGCAATAGTAGTAAGAAATGAATGCAATAGTAAGAAAATAAACACATGTTGTGGGGAATATTGGTTAACCTTCCCAATCATCTTGACTAGATTTGGAGACACTTTATGCATAATACAAATTTACTTATATAGGTTTAACTGAAGGTGAAAGACCCACCCTGAATGTGGGTGGTACCCCCAACAACTCTGGTTCCAAACTGAATGAAAAAGAAAATGTGAGGAAGCCAGCTGAGCAGTAATGTTATTTATTTTCGTGGTTTTCCTGACTATGGACATAGTGTGATCAGCTGCTTCATGTTCCTGCCACCAAGACTTGTGTGCTCTGATGGACTGCAACTTTTAATCTGTGAACTGAGACAAACCCTTCTTAAATTACTTTTGTCAGATATTTGTCACAACTGCAAGAAAAATAATTCAGAAAACTAGTAATAAGAGTAGGTTTGTTGCTGTGATAAACATAATTGCGGGGAGAGGAGGGAGATGGTGCAGTAGGTAAAGGTGCCTGCCACCAGGCTTGATTGCTGATGACTCAAGTTTGAGCCCTGGAACTCACATGCTTTCCTCTGACCTCCATTGTGCACTGTGGCATGCAAAAGTAATAAAAAAAATAATGTAATTTAAAAGTTAAAAAAACAAACAAACCCAAGCATGTGCTTTTGGGCCTTTGGAATTGGTTTATAGGAAGAATGAAGCCCCTAAGTCTCAGACGCTGGGCATGCAGTGCAGGGTTTGTTGTTTGGCCTACTGGGTTTTGGTCTTGCTGTAGTCATCCCATTCTTCTCTTTTGGACTGAGAATGGGAATTCATAGTGTACACTGTATATTGGAAGGTTTTGGCCAGACAAGCTCTAGAATACCGTTAGCAGAACTTAAGAGCCATGCTGAAGGGACTTTGGGGGACCGAAATGCAGATAGCAGAGACCTAGTTATAAGGTTCCTAGAAGCCACCCCCCCATTCAAAAATGGGCTATCTAGCTCATTTGTGTCATATTCTGGCCAAAAAAGAAAAAAGAAAAGAAAAGAAAAGAAAAGAAAAAAGAAAAAGAAAATCAGCATTCTGCCTATGTTCTGAAATTTTGAGTGATAATAAATTAAAAAGGAATGGACTAATGAACTATATTGTTTGATAGAGGGAATTTCAAGGCAAGTAACATCCAGGCTGTGACATAATTACCACTCACTGCTCATAGGCAGTTCTACAGAGAGAGAACAGAAAGATACTTAAAATGTGTAGCTTGGTGAAGAAAGGAATATGAGCAAGTTTAGATATACATGCAAGGAGGATGTATGAAGATCAGCTGACATTATTAAAGGAAGTAATGGCATTAAAGAGAAATCTCAGGGCCTGGCAGTGGTGGCAGAGGCAGATATCAGAGTTTGAGACCAGCCTGGTCTACAAAGTGAGTTCCAGGACAGCCAAGGCTACTCAGAGAACCCTGTCTGAAGAAAAAAACAAAACAAACAAACAAACAAAAAAAAAACCACCACCACCAAAACAACAACAACAAAAACAATGAGATAGAGAGAGAGATCTCAGACTGGCATTGCACTGCATGTCTTTAACAGCTTCGGAGGTAGAGGCAAGAGGATCTCCTCAAGTCTAAAGGCCACTCTGGTCTACAGAGCAAGTTCTAAGGCAGCCAGGGCCATATAATGAGGCCTTGTCTCTAAATAAATATCTCTCTCTGTCCTGGGACAAGAGGAAGTTGCCAGGAGTTGAGAAACTAGTCCATCGAAGAGTCCAGCATCTAAAAACAGTTCGTTTGAAAGGAGAGAGCTTTAACTGAGGGTACACTGAGAATGCCCACCCCACCCCTGCCCATCAACACCTAGGGCAAGTTGGGCAAAGTGGCCCTGAGGTCACTGAGAGCAGGAGAGCTCTTCCTCCCTCCCTCTCCCTTCCCCTCCCCTCCCCCCATCCCCACTCCCACTCGGGAGAGCAGGCTGTGCACCTCAGCTGAACAATACAATAAAGCCAGCCCTGTTGGCTTGTCTGTCATGTGGCAGTGTGGATAGGGGAGAGATGCCCCCAGGCTTAAATCTAATTCATCTTGTCAATAAAAAACAGGAGTCAGATGTGGGGTAAAAACCTGGAAGATCAGAGAACAGGAAGCAGCCATCAGTCCTACCTCTCTCCTTCCTCTGTTTGAGAGTCCACGACCTTTCCTCTGCCCCACCTTATCACTTCCTGTCTCCTCTCTATAGAGACCTCCAGATCTCTGTGGTTAACTAGTGGCTAGATCTGCCCTCTGATCCCAAGCAAGTTTTATTTGCCAGAACACAAACAGAATATCACACAACATCCCTTTTATCCCTTGCCTCTTACTGCCTGCAACACACAAGAGCTGACCCTCCCTCTTACCAGCTATAGCACCCAGGAAAGTGGGCCCTGCTCCTCACCTAGGCAACATAGCAGAACAGGCTCTGTTGTCAGAAGTGTGGGTGACCCAGCCCTGATTGTTGTGTGGAAGGGTGCTGTTCCCATTACTCATCTGACATTCAGCATGGGTGGAGGAGAGATGTCCTTTCTACCCCCCCCCACCTCACCCCAACACATGGATGCTTGGGACAGATGGAGGAGCTGACCCCTGGGGTCATGGGAGCAGATAGGTCGTCTCTGCTCCTCTCCAACTGCAGCGCTGGGGACAGTGAATGGCCCCTGTACCTTGCCTGGATAACATAGTGGAGCTGGCCCTGGTGTATGTGTGGGAGAGCCGCCCTGAGGGAGAACTGACTCTGTCCCTTGCTCATTGCTACAAGGGATGAATTAGCCAGGGCAGAGCTGGAGAGCTCACCCAGGTGGTGAGGACAGGGGAGAGCTGGAACTACCCAGGGCTAGAACCAGAGTTATGACTTGGACCTCAATGTCCATCCCATCCATTTATCTGCCAGAGCACATGAAGATGCCTGACCTGCAGAGCCAAATATCCAAGAAGAGTCCCGGTGAGGGCTCAGCATCGATAGTGTAGTAGAAACCAAAGACCTAGAACCAAACCAGCGACTCTTACAAGTAAAGATATGTGGACAAAGGGGTTTACTGCATGACTCACTGTGTCATACTGCAGGTTCCATGACAATAGTTTTAATTTTTACCTTTTAAATTTTGTTTTATTTGGAGTGGGAGGTTGCAGGGCCAGAGAGTAGACGCCAAAGGACAGGGAAATGAATGGGATTAGATGCATGATGTGAAAGACACGCAGAAAGTTTTTTTTTGTTTTGTTTTTTAAAAAAAGTCAACAACTGCCCATGAAAGTGTTTCCTTGGGTTCAGCTGCCAGGGTGCACAGAAGCCACTGCATCTGTGATAGAAGAATACCAAACTACATCTTGATCTGTTAGTACAACTTGGTGGAAAAATTCAAGGAGTGCATGGGTCTGAAAGTTTGTACTAAGTTTCCAGAAAGCAACTGAGGTTTCCCAGTATAGGGACAGTGCCTGAGGCCCTGAGAGGCCACTGAATGAAGCTGTGAAAGTAAAGTCTAAGTTTTAATGGAGACCCCTGATGTTAAGAATGCCAGGACCTTGAGAAGTACATCTAGAAACACTGCAGGCATAGGATAGAGTCAGCCCAAGGGGGGCTCCATGAGCTACAGGCTGTGGAATGGGACAGGCGGGGCTATCCATGACCATTGGAGCTCAATTTAAGTTACTGTGAGGTACAGATGATAGGCATGGAACCATAGGGTTTGGCTTTTCCTGCTGGGTTGCAGTTTTTGACCTGGTCTTTACTTACTATCCTCCAATTCCTGTCTTTTATTGTTTACTTTGTAATATTATTTGTTGGGGATACAGGAC